ACCGCAGAACTGCGTGGGGCAAGCACGGGACCGAGGGTCATCATGGTGCCACAGAACTGCGTGGGGCAAGCACGGGACCGAGGGTCATCATGGTACTGCAGAACTGCGTGGGGCAAGCACGGGACCGAGGGTCATCACGCCTCCGGCCGGGCCGAACCTCATCTAACCCGGGATCGGTGCCTGCCACAGAGTGTGGGCTCCACACCCAAGAGCCCAGTGCCGGAGCCCCCGGGTATCTCATGTTACCGACTGGCAGCCCCACCCCATCTGTAAATGCAGATGTGCACCCCCACCCACATCACAGCATCATTGGTAAGAAATGAGTGAAAGGACGAGAAAGCTCCAAGCCACCGTGTCACCCATTTCCTGTGAGGTAGCCTCCCCCAACAAGCCCCATTCCGGGAATCAATGGTAACCTACCCCACCAGGCCATCAGCTCCTTTAAGGGCAAAGCCTGGGGCCCAGACACAGTATCTACCACTCTCCTCACACACACAACCATCCAAGTTGCTAGAAATCTGTCGCCCACACTTTAGGGACAAGGAAACCACTCAGGCATGTCACTCGCTTGAGGTCACGCAGCTCATGCAGGACGTCTGAGTCCCTCTGTACGTGTCAAGACCTCTGTAGAAGCACAGCGCCCCTGGCCACCACAGTGGTGGCCTTCTCCAAGGCCCCCCACAGCTGCACCTCTCCCATCCGGCAGACGTCCGGCCAGCAGTGAGTGAGTTCTCCTGGCCATTACCACCACTGGTCACCCTGCGCTCCAAGCAGCGAGGCCACGGCAGGCAAAGGTCTCAGAATAAGACAAGGGGAAACACCCGCATACACACACAAACAAACATACGCACAAAGCCCTCCAAAACGCAACCTCCGTTCACACAGAAGATAGTACATATATTTTTAAGAGGAAAAAAAAAATGAGAAAAACAACAACAACAACAACACATGTTTCGCTTTTTAAATTAAGCCTGGGGAAGAGAAGGCTTGATCTAATAAATTCAACAAATAATATATTGCAAAACACGATTATGTGTTTTCCCCACCAGGTGCTATTTAATTTTAACTGAATGCATTTCAACGTGAATTTGTATCTAAATATACAACCAAATTCTTCTTAACTGGCAGTTCTGCCAGGAAATTAAGGATTCTGCATTGCACATCCCAACACATTCACACACCCTGGAGGAGGAAATGGTTTCCTAACTTTCCTGGCAACATCTTTTGATCTTAGCCAAGAAGGGCAAAGGTGAGTAGCAAACAAACAATTCCTTTAGAACTTCTGAGGGAAATAAGAGGCAAGGGAGGGGGAGAGGAGCTGGCTGCTTAGCCATCTCTTCCCTCCAGGAGCTGAAAACTAGAGGGGCCCAACTTTTCCAGGGATGAGGAGCTGGTTCAGCTAATTGTTTCCTGAAATCTTACTGTTTGGTGGGCAGTCTCCTCCCCGCACTGCTGGGGCCCGGTGGGGGGGCGGGGGGCGGGGACTGTAAGAGCTGCCACCCTCTCCGGCCAGATAAGGGGTAAGCCTGCCCCGCAGAGCCCACACCCCTCCCGCCCCTGTATCTGCGGCTACTCACAAACTTGAGCAGGCAGATGTTCTCCCGCAGGGCCCCCACGCAGCCAGCGAACCCCAGCGTGAACATCACCACGCCCACCATCAGGACCAGCACCACAGGGTCGATTCCATGCAGCCGGGTCACTTTGGTGAGGTCAGACAGCACTCCCTGGAAGAGGCAGAGAAAGCATCAGCCTCATGGAGTCGAGGGTGCCTTGGCGGGGGGGGGGCTAGGTTGTGTCCAGAGCTAAAATAAGGACAGGGACCTGTCTTCTGAGGCTCAGCCCTCTCATTAACAGTCAGGCCAGAACACAGAGCATGGCCCCTGCCCACCTGCCCTCTTAGGGGCCGCTCCAACCCCGCCTCAGCTCCTAGGGCCCTCGCACGCAGCAATCCTGGGCTGCACCTCGGCTGTGAGCCCCTCCCAGGCAGAACCCACACTCTTTCTGGAGACTGCAAGATCCCTATGCCAGGCCTGGAGTGGAGGGCACCTTAGGGCCAGAGCCTCACCCTGACCTCTGGCCATGTGGCAGCTTACTCTGCACTCAGTTCGTGGAGAACCCCACTATCCTGAGCTGAAAGCAGCTTCAGTATGCACACCCTGGTGGAAAACAGCCACGGAGACGAAGGCAGCACTGTCCCAAATGGTACCCACTGGCCCCATTACTATTGAGCACCTGAGGGCAATGAAAAGCTGAATTTTAACTCATGTTTCATTTTAACTAATTTAAATACATACAGTCACATGTGGCTAGTGAGAACCAAAACCGACTGAGGAGTTCTACAGGATGCAAAGGAGGAAGGAGAAAGGAGCCACCAGCCCAGCACCCAGCGGCCCCCAGGCTCCCAGGTAGCCAGGCCTCTGCTCAGGGCCCAGCCGGAGCTGCTGCCGTTCAGGAGATGGCCACACGGTGGCGATATGAGTCACGGTTTGCAGGGGCTTGCAGGGTTTGTCCGCAGGACAAAGTGACATTGCACTTCAGCTCCTGCCCTTTAGGGGTTCACAGGCTACCTTGAAGATGCCTAAACCCCAAGGCGAGCCTTATTCACCTCCTAAGGCCATGGCAAGAAAGCCCATGGATCTAAGCTCTCCCGCCTCCTTCTCCTGGAACCAAAGGGAGCTTCCACTGAAGGGATAAGAGAGGATCCCAGGCCTGAGGCTTGAAGATGCTTTAGTTCCCACTGTTGCCTGCCTGGCCCAGGGCACCTTGTTCGGCCTTGCTCCTTCTCTCTCCCCTCTTCTGCCTGCCCTGTAGCGAGGGTCCTATTCAGCTCTACGTCCCTGGCATGCACCCACCAGCAGAGCAGAAGCTGGCACCGCAGCTCACGCGTCCAGTCCCCTCCTCAGAGCCTCCACTGCCCCTTGTCCTTCTGGACAGGAAGAGCCCAGTCTCCCCACCTCCCCTCTCCTGCACAGGCTGGGCAAGGAGGTTCACAGGTGTGTAAGGAAGGGCACCCAGGGGGCGTGTAACACAGCCCTGCTCCGGATCTCAGAAGGGCAAGAACTTCAGGAATAAACACAACTGTGTTCAAGGAGGTGCTCGCTCCCAGAGGCACAGACAGGAACAGAAGGCGGCCCCAGGACTGCCCCAGACACAACGGCAGACAAGCCCCCAGGCCGTCTGAGGCTTCTGGGAACAGCAAAGAGGGCTCTCCTCACTCACGGAGCTCAAAAACCCAACCAGCCCCGCCCAGCCCAGCCCAGCCATGGCCTCTAGCAGTGACCCCCTCCACAGGGAAGCAGAGCCAGTCCCAGGGCCCCAGGAGGTCTCACGACAAGCTCAGTAACTATTTCCCAGAGCTGGCTCTGTGACAACCCATGGCTACAAACCATTACCCCGTGCAAGAATGCTTGTCAGGGAGGAGTCTGGAAGGAGCAATTAAAGCTGAACACACCTGCTCCAGGCGACCTGATGCTTCCACAGTGCTGGTAACAGTAACACCTACCTTTTCGCTCCATGCCCACAGTCCGACTCCAAGGAAGACAACTCCAGCCAACTAAGCAGGGGAGGAGGGGAGGGAAGGGGAGAAGTGGGGAAGGAGGGAGAGAGGGCGAGAATTAGTTAAGTCTGCAACCAGCACCACGAACGTGCTTCTTGGAGGGACATCCACACTGCTAGTCAAGGGACGCTCCTGGCTCGTGTCCGTGCAGGCGGGCCAGTGGCAAGGCAAGCCCTCGGTCCCTGCAGACGACGCGAACTCTACCCCAGAGCAAAGGGACGGCCAGGCGTTTGGGGTAACTTACACATACCTTCCCTGAACATCTGGACAAACTCAATGGCCCCCATGCTCCAGAGAGCAGAGAGGAAGATCTCAGAGCAGAGTCTGCCCTCGACACTATGGAGTCAGAGACACATCATGATGGCCCTGCCCTGTTTCTTCCACATTCCCAAAGCCCCCGAACTCACTTCAGTGCAGGATCTGGTATAAAGAAGACATGACCCTCTGTGACAGCCCCCCAGATGCATTCACAGGCTCTCCAGAGCCCTGGGCACCTCCGCTCCACATGGGGCACATGTGTGCTCCGCGTTATTGGTTACTGGGTTATTTGTTACTGAATTAAAATGGGCCTGTGCTAAACAATGCATTCACCCCAGAAAAGGCGCACCCCTCCACCCCACTGGAACCAGGCTGCTTCACCTGTACCACAACAGAAAGCCCCCCCACACACACCACAAAGGTCTCTAAACCAGAGATTTTTTTCCGTATAAAACAAAACGCCTGGTCTCTGAAAATTAAGCTGCCTATTTTTCTGCGTAAGTTCTTTATACCACGCTAGCATCTGCCTGCCATTCATCAGTACCTCCCGATAAATAATGGGGCCAGGTCTGTCTAGGACTCACCTCTCCAAGGAGTATTCTCACACTTTAAGGTCTCCTTTGTTCACTACTGGCCCCAGGGGGCTGGAGTGGGAAGGGAAGGCCCTTTAAAGAAAGCCCCCAGGAGATCGCAACCTCTTTGGAATCACAGACCACCTTCACAGAATGCTTCTGTGCCCAATACTTGGGATGGGATTTCAGAGGGTTCACAGACCCCTCACCGCTGGTTCCCACAGAAGCCCTGCCTGCACCCGATTCGTCCACTTTACAAAGCAGAACATGGGCCCAAGAGGGCCAAGATGAAAACACCCAGCAGTGGAGGAGAAGGGCCTAGAACGCAATTTATTCAACAGATACTGCCTGAGGCCCTCCTAAATGCCAAGCTCTGCGGCCAGCACTGAGGACGCAGACAAAGCCCCCGACGCTGCTGCAGCTTCAACTCCAGGGAACAACACGCGGTCTGGCTATGTCACCCTGGTTTCACAACTCTGTGGTCCTCCTGCTGATTTAACTAGTGGCTAAAGGCCTTGGTTTTTCTTGATGGGGTGCATGAGCGCTTCCTCTCCCTCCCCAAGCGTCTAACACTACAGGGCAGGCAAGCCTGAAGGTGACCAATCACTGCCCACTGAATCCAGTAGGCTTCCCTCCCCGCCATTCCTCAAGGTCCCCAGTGACTTAGCCTCTTGCCAGAGCTAGAGGTCAAGTCTTTTTTCTGTTTATTTGATCTGACCAGGCACAGCTGGTCATTCCCTCCTGTGCGGAGGCGCTCAGCTTTGGCGACACAAAGCACTGGTCACTCTTCAGCCTTTCCTGCTGGCTCATCCTCCCCCAGGCACCTCTATATGCTGGCAAGCCTCACTGCTCTGTTCGGGGCCCCGCCCCCTCCCCTGGGTTCTCTAGATGAAGCTATAATTCACATGGCTTGAAACACCATCTCTACACAGCTGACCCACAAATCCAAACCTCCATACCTAATGTCCACATTGACTTGTGCACAGAAGATAGCTGACAACATTTCAGTCTTCACATGGCCCCAAATGGAGCCTTGCTCTCCCAGGCCCAACCAGCCCCTGCCAACTCTTGCCCTTCTAATTAAATGGCACCACGGCCACCTCACTGGGTTGTTTAGATGAGAAAACCTACACCTCATGCTCTCCAAATGCATTCAGAGCAAATGGGGGCCAAGCAAAAGCCCAGCCTGGGCCAGGTCCATGGTCACGCCCTGCACAGAGGCATCAGGATCAGGACAGGAGGTTGTCCTGGAGGTTGTCCCTCCCTATGCCTCATCCAGTGTCCCCAACAGCACTGCAGCCCCTCCTAACCGTTTTCCATGACAGCCACCTCCCACCTGGCACCACGGTGGATGGTGAGAGATCCTGCCCCTCTGAGACCCCTGGCTGAGTCAGGACCAGCTCCCTCCCACTGCAGCCCAGATTTCCTGCTCTTACAACAACTGGGCACTAAGAAAAGGGCTCATGGGTTTTTCCATTCGGTTTTAAAGAAAGAACTAACGTGAACTTGCACCAGAAAGACAGGAACCGGCAGGGTGGGGGGGATCACATGTCCGATCATGGGTTCAGTGAACACTGGCCCGAGGCAGGAACTTTGGGGACCAATTCTAGAGATGAGAAGACTGAGGGAGGCCCAGACAGGGGAAGTGGCCTGTCTGGGAGCTCACCCAACAGCCCCGTGAATGAGCCAGGCCGGGACACTTGCCAGCTTCACCCAGCTTCCAGTGGGGCCCCTTCCCTGGATCTCTCTGGGGCAGATGGTCCGTGGCGCTGGGCTGTTGTCCCTGGCGGCCAACCATCTGGGAGCGACAGTTCAGCTGGGTACTTTCCAGCCTCAGAGTAACCTCCTTTGTCTCTCTTTTATGACCTGATTAAATCCCCTCCCAAAGGATGGGGCCAGACTCCCACTAAGCCCAAAGGGAGGCCAGCCTTGGGCCATCAGGTATGTACACCACTGTGGTCACCATGGGAAGTGGTACCACTCTTTCCTGGGTGCCGAGGCCAGCATTCAACACCTCCTACGTTTAAAGGGCCCCTTCACACCCCATCACGGGTGTGTGTACTATTACCCCTTTTCAAACGGGAAAGCTCAGATGTAGAATGACTTGGTAATTTGCCCAAAGGCACACAACTAGCCAGTGGCAGAGTTCAAACCAAATCGGGTGTCTCTGACCCTCCTGACAGCACATTATCCCAACCCCCACAGGGCAGCCACCCGGGCCAGGAAGACAAGCGGCCGCCTGAGCCCCCCACCGCAAGGGACAGGCACAGGGGCCCCACGGCACAGGAGTTCCACAGAAGATGCTTTCGGGCTGTGCAATTCTGAAGCCCACGACCTATATCCTCAGGTGGTGAGGGTCACTCTGTGGCCCACTCTGGCCAGGAAGCAGGGTGTCACTGTAAAGATTATTGACCCCCTCCCCCCGAGGCAAAGGCCCCCTATGGAAGGTGAGGGGTCCTCTCTGGACACTCTGGGCTGGAAGCTACATGGAATCCACTCCCCATGTGAGCAAGCCTGGGGCATTTCACCCAAGCAGGTTCAAGTGACAACCGAAGTGTAGACACCTGGCCAGGATACTGGCCAGGCTGGATAGGAGCAGGGTTCCAAAACCAAGCAGCTCAGAAGCAGCCCCTCATCACCCACACTTCAGTGGCCTTGGCCCCTTGCAAGATTTCATTTCGGGGTGTGTAAAAGGACTTGGGCAATTCTTGCAGGCCTCAGAGGCCTTCCTGCAGGGAGCTCAAGGCAAATCAGCAGCAGCAATGCAACGCTCTCAGGCTCTGTCCCCACTGGCTCTGGTTCTTGCAAGTCCCCTGGTTGTCAAGAGGTTGACATTCACAGGGCTGCCTATGGGAGTCTCAGAATAAAAAGCAGAAGGAGACCCAAGAGTAAGCCAAACTCAAGGCCGGAGTAGTGCTGAACACACAGCACAAGTCAGCTGGTCCTGGCTCCAGTCTCCACTCTGCAACTGTCTGGTGACAGGACTTCGTGCCAAGTCCAGGAACTCCTCTGTGCCTATGATTTCCTCTGCACAATGGGAACGACCTTTCCTGGGTCATAGGAGGGTTGCAGGGATTGAAGGAAGTATATCACAAGTGACATGCTTACCCCAGGGCATGGAGCCGGTCCAAGGGAGCCCTGCCCTCCTGCAAGGGAGAAGAGCAGAGCAGAAGCATCGAGGGGCCTTCCAGATGCCACCAGCATCTGCTGGCCTTTAGGCTCTCTGCGCCGCCCCCCCCAATAACTCCCAGCTCCAGCCTTTGTCCTAAGACAAAGTCCTTCTTTCCAGAGGCATCTGTTTTATCGGGTCTCAGAGACAACAGTGAAGTAGAGTTTAGGGAAACAGGGCCTCTGAAGTCTTTTTAAGTAAGGTAAGAAAGAATGATGGAAAGAAAACAGGACAGAGTGGAAGAAGCTAGAACAGAATCTCAGCTCTGTTTCTAATTCACCCTGTGGCTTTGAGCAAACCATCCCTCTCTTGGACCTCAGTCTGCCAGTCTGCAAAACTGAGCAGCTGGAGACTAGCAATCTGCAAAGGGCTGTACACCTCCCACGGCCTAAGCTCTGCCTTCATAAATCATGCCAGGGTGGCAACCCCATGGTCCAGGCACTTTCCAGGATAGGAAACCCTGACTCTAGACCTGGTGAGTTCAGAAAACACCAGAGAGCTTGTGGCCACGTGAAATGCCAACAACTCAAACTACTGGCCCGAAAGGACTCCAGAGGGCAAAGACTCTAGACCCAACCTGACCCTGAGAGCCCAGGGGGCTGAGAGTGAGTCTCAAGATCTTTCGGGGTTAGGAAGCCTCGCCCTTCAAGACTGTAGCCACTCTGAACCCTACAGAGTACAGGGAATGCCACTTTCAAATAGTCCCACGTTCAAAGAGTCAAAACTAAGCCACTTCTCAGTGGGAGTTTGGAAGGTCTGGGAGCCGGAAGGGGCACTGGAGCCCAGCTTCCTCATTACAGAGGGAAGCAAGGCGCAGGGCAGGATAGTGCCTTGCGCCGGGTCACACAGCTACCACACACCAGCTTTTCCTCCTGCCGGAAGGGCGGTTCTGAAAATAAGAAGCATGTGTGCCCTTTCCAGCACAGCCAGCAAACACATGCTAGGGGCCCCAGTGAGGAGGGGGAAGGACTACCCAGAGGATTCAGGGCAGTTTCCAC